ATAGTTCACAACAATTCACTCACTTTCTATCGCGCTTAGACTTAATTGCCCGTCCCCGCCAACTATAGTTCCGATCTCTGTGTCTGCTATCCTCAGTTCCCGCCCACCGTAACCGCTGTCTTTCTTTCTCTCTACCTGCTTCGTCTCTGCCTCGTCTCTGTCTCCACTACTGCTTCGACTCCGTATGTCTCTCTCACTGTCTAGCGCACTTATATACGATAATACTGCCTGTTCTAGAAACTTCTAGGACTCTCAACACATGCAACACACATGACCCCGCTGTCCCAACGCACTAGCGAATCTTCTAGAATACTCGTCACGTGATCCCCCCCCACTGTCGTAACAACTGCATGATAAACATAATTCAACTAGTCCAATAAACAGAAAGGGAAATCCAGGTTTTCAGCTTCTTTATCCACATATACATCTATGATTAGCATACTGGACAGTCATTGTCACATACTCAACTTATCAAACATACTTTCCATATAAAGACAACTCCAGACTAGTTCTCTTGACGATGTGAGCTGGCTTAAAGACATAATGATAGCATTTTAAGATGGGGGACATCTGTTTCATCACTAACTTGTAATTAAATACAGAAATCTATATTAAATTGTCAAAAAATGAATAAAAGAAAGACATGGTCATATAGTAACATATAAATGACATTAATGCATGATATCTGCACATCACATTGTAATATTAGGTAAATAAGTGTGCAGTTGTTCATCTAAAATCAACTAAGTACTAATATGTGAAATTTCTGTTTAAGAAATACTTAGAAGATGTTATTTATTTGCTGGGAACATGAACAAATATATTTAAGGTTCCATTTAGGTATCCCTGAATGTTGTGTATCTAATATTAAATGTGTTGTTCATTTTTGTAGGTTTTCTGTGTATATAATCAGGTTTCAGACTATCGGTACATTGACATGTTTTCAAGGTATAGATATGCTGAATATAAAGCTAATGAGAGGTGAAGTTTTTTTTTGCATGAGACTTTGTAAAAATACATTTCACTTTGATAAATACATTGTCAGTCTATACACTTCTGACATACTAAACTTGATATTAAAATTATCCTATTTATGAAAACAAAAATCATTTAGAGAAACTAGAAACTTTAAATGTGTATTTATAGAGAATATTAATATTTTTTATAGATATTAAAACATTGAACTAAATAGATTTGATAATCAAATAATATTAAAAATTTAATTCTATACTTTTTGTGAATGAATTGTTACATTACTTTGTAATTTGAGAAAAATTATGTAATTTTATAACAAGGTAAAGTTTTGTTAAAATAACATCCTTTATTTTTTGTATTCATTATAAAATAACTTTACAATTAAATAATGCATATATGACTCATTTGGCTGGTAGCAATTATTAACATGTAGTTTAGCTATATGGGCTATTCTTATTCTAACACATTGGATGTACAATATGCCTTCTCATTTAACTTTTAAGTTAGAATCAACCACAGCTTAAGTGAGATTTAACCTTTAACTAAGCATAATATTGAGGATTCATCAGTCAGATGCAACTTCATTATATCATATTATGTGTGAATGCTACTAAATTGTGTACTTCAGCAACCCAGTTGTCTAATAACAAGATACATCATCGTGAAATACATTACATGTAGGTATTCCTTCCTATAATTTCACTTGTATTTAACAATGGACATAATGGACCTAACTTTTCTTTGTCAGTTCACCAGGCTGGATCAAAAAGGAATATTCTATTCAGAATACGTAGGACCCCACACAGTTTTGTGGAAAATAAATAAATAAATTTTCTCTTGACCTTGCGAATTCCTGATAGTACATTCAATTGAGCAGAAAAATTCTAAGTAACTCTGCTGGGTGCTAGTTTTATGAACATTGTTGCCTATGTGTGTTTAGTAAAGTAGTTGACATTTTTGTCATTTTATGGTTGGTCACTCATCTAAATCTCTTAAAACCCTGTCGTCATTGAGTGTCTGAAAATCTCTGTTGGCATTACTGCCACTGTCTTTTACAATCTCTTTATGTCTTGGATCTACAGCTTGAACTTCTTACCTTTATTCATAGATACATGAGTTAACTTGAAAGAAACATCACCCAGTGTATTTCTTCACTTTTTTTTTTATTGATTCTTACATACTTTTATTTGTTCATAGATTGTTGGTAGAGTTAAAACTTGAGTGACGAACAGTTAACACTGTTTTTCAAGATATGTACAATATTATTCAGTGAGAATTTAGTGAAATGTTGAACTAGCAAATAAAATTAGTTCCACTGTAACAAAAATCATTATTAATGGCAAAAATAAACAATTGTATATAAATAACATAAATGTTAACTTGTTATAGAACCATGTTTCAACCAGTGTTATTTAACTAACTTACTCAGATAAAAAAAAGTCTTATTTAGAAATGTAGAAAATATGTTTTGTCTATTATTTAGATATACAATTGGGACTAATATGCCAGACATGAATGTTTATTTTAGTTTTAGATTACATGTAAGTTAGTGGTTAGGTATATTACACCAGTTGAATAAAAATGATAAAAAATGTATTTGCCCACACTAGTGATTTATTTTTATAACTAACAAAATGGGTGAGTACTTGCAGGCACCAGGTATCCTATATGACAAAGAATTAACTGTTGAATATAGACCTGGGTAATTAGTGGAATTTGATAATCGATTAATCAACAGGTTTATTAATAGATTACATTCAGTTGATCACTTATTCTTACAATAAACTTAAATAATTGAAAACAATACTAACCAGAAACCCTAATTTAGATTAGCTGCTTATTTCCAGAAGTTTTTACATCAATTCATTAAGCTGAACAATCTTTAATTACTAAAAAATAATAATGAGAAATCATAATGGCAATATTTTAATTACTTGCATTGCTGAAATAGTTAAAAGTAGTAATAATTGGAAACAATAATTGCAATTAGTTGGCTATCTTCATAACATTAATCAATTTAAACATTATTTCACTTAATTGATTATTTTACATGACACTAATTAATTTAAACAATGCTTATAGGTAATTAATTACATTGATTAGTAGAGGGTTACAAGTTTTCAGACATTATACATTGATAGTTGTATGTCATATAGTAGGTTTGAATAAATAATATACTTTTGCCAGAATAATTGTAGTGTGTCATTTACTTGAAATGTACCTGTACATGGTTGACAATATCAACCATGTCAAATTTATTTGTATGAGATGTTTTATAGAGTTATAAAATCAAATAAAATAAATTATATATTAATGTTATTTAATTTGATTGTAACTAATTGTACATGTATTGTGTTAGCAAAGCCATGATTTTCTATTTTTGTTTCTACTGTTTCATGTACCTACATGTAGTGTTTTCTTTTATTAATTACCACATTACAATTGATAGTGTTTATTAAACAGAGGCTGTTGATTTTCCTAAAAAAATATATTTGATTCTTTGTTGATACATATAGATTCAACAAGCAGCTCTAGCTAATAATGAAGACCCTGCTATATTCTGTGAGAGAGTATCGTTACAGTATAAAGTAAGCTTCCCTCATTTGTTCTAGTAAGACTTCAACATTATTTATAACTGGTATTCATTTAAAGTTTGAACTTTTTTTACATTTGAGTCACATGGTTAGATCTTTCCACTCTATGAGCAAAATGAATTAATTTATTTTGTACATTTGTGTGAGAAAAATATTGATTGTGCTCATTGTTTTTCATTGTGAGATTGGTCAGTCTCTTGAACTAATTGTAGGTGTTACATCAGCATGATTAAAAATACTGATAAAGATTTGTGTAATGTATAAAGTAAACAATACTTTTTATAAATAACTCAATAATGATAACTATAATGCTCATATTTTATAATACATCTAAGAATGTAGAATGATAATGTTTACCATTATACTTCCATTACAAGTGTTTTTATGTTCAGTTTAGTTTACACATAATGTGTAATTGTGAAATGTGAATTGGCAAACACCAAATTAGATATAACTTATGATAGCCATAGTGTAATATTTATACCTCTGGAAGAATTTTGATGGATGTTCTAAGCATCTCTTTTGTAGCAGATCAAACTTTTCACATTTAAAGATATTAATAGTGATGCTCCTAAACCTAATTATCTATCTTGTTATATTCAAAATTTAGTTGAAGCTGGTTTTAAAACTAAAAGTTTGTCTTACAAGAATAACCAAATCACTTTCATTGTTTGTTAAAATATATCATGAACCACATAATAGGGATTACAAGGAATTGCACAAAACCCTAATAGAACGTTTGGGCAAAAATCATCTTAAACAGTAAGTATTCAGTTCAAACAACACTTTAAAACCTTTACTATTGACTGCTAAAGCTATACACATATAAGAATGCACAAAAAAGCATGCATGTTAGACTAACAAGGAAAAGGAAATTTGCTCAAAATGACCCGTTTATAAATCTTATTATTATTTCTCTTGCCAGCCTACAACAAAACGACTTGGTATATTGGACCCAAAACTTTTGTATATTACTAACTAGGGTACTGTGAAGATCGTAGAGGTATTGAACAGTTGATTTTTTTCTTCTATATTTTACATAAGTTAAAAAACATTATAATAATATATAAATGATGTTATCATTACCCCTTAAAGTTAGCTTTTTTATAAACATTTAATGTTTCTATAAAAATCTTTAGAAACAGGAATTACCAGCCAATAATAGATGAACATTAGATTGCTGTAACATGTTGATACTTAATGCTTTTTACACTATACAATTGGCACCTTTAGGGAGCCAACCCCTATATTATGTATGAAGTGAAGGAGTAAAAAAAAAAATCAATACACATAATATTAAGTTTTATTACACGCATTTGTAGAATAATTAGTTTAAAAGACACTAGGGTTTATTTAAAGCAATTTCTTAGACATACATGTTTTATTCAAAAAGAC